TATAGCATGATGGCGGTTTCACTGTTCATAGTTAGTAGTACGGAACTTACATCTATAGGGTGTGTGTGTCGCGTGTGTGTGGCGTTGCGTCGTGCGTGCGTGCGTGCGTGCGTGCGGTGCGCCGCGTGCGTCGTGCGTGCGGCGAACGCGTTTATTTATAGCTTTATATTTAGTTAGAAGTTCAAACTCTAGTTTGTGTATAACTTAAAGTGCAGTTCCGGCGTTGTATATCGCATCACGCCGGCTGATTTATATGTTGCAGCATGTTTTGGGGGGAGGAGCATAGCGAGTGTCGTGCACGCTCTGGTTGTCTAAGCGTATTAATTAATGAAAAGCTTTGTTTGTTTGCCCTCACCGGACCGACCTTGCCAAACAGGTGGCGACTCACAATTTATAGATTTTTTTATATTATTTATTAACAATTGTATCACTAAATATTATATAAAGCTGTAGGCATATTCATATAAGTACAGCGCAAAAAAACATTCAACATAAGGTATCTACACACAGCAACCCGAGCATGTTAGACACCATGTTTGAATCTTCAAGAAGACCGCCCTTAAAAAAAAAAGCCTACCTACCTACCCAAACTTTTCAGCCTGGGTTAGGTGGAGTCGGCAAACAAACTGTTTATGTGTGGCCTAGTTATGGCGGGAGTGGGTGGGTAAATATCGGGCTTACGACACCCTAAATAGTGCGAGTAAAAAAAATTCGCTGCCGCCTGCGTTTTAACGATCGTCGATTCGCGTCAATCTTGCATTTTTCGAATGCTGTTCAGGCGATCGGCAGTCGTGGCGTGCAATTTAATAAAAATGCGGCTTTCTTACCGGTGTGCTACTAACGTGTAACACGTGCATGCTGTCGTTGGCGGGGTGGGGAACTGGGAGGGGGGGGGGATGGCGATTAGTTGTGTCAAGTGTTTTCGGATGTGTTATGATGTGTAGCCAGGTGCTGATAGTCTACCTGTGTACAAAAACACGGCCAGCGATGCGGTAGTCGACCTGTCAACCTGATGGGCTGCATTTGTCACCTTATTAGTGGCACCGGCATGCGTCCTGGGCTCTTCGCCTCTCTGTTCTCCGTGATTCACCGAGCGACCGACGTGATTGAATTAGTGGGAATAGTGTGCGCGCGGAACGGGCGACCGTGACGCGCTTGGTTGTTGTTGTGCATGCTGAATGTAGTTAATATTCCATTTCAGTATATGTAGTGTATGTACAGACGGGGCGGCGGGGGACTCATCTTTCAGGAAAATGGAGGAAAATGGGATGTCTGAAGTCTGAGTTTCAAAACCAAGCTACAATTACACCAAACATAAGTGTAAGGCTGCTGTAAAATTATCTGCAGAACGATGTTTGTAACACTTAAAGGCAATTGCAGTTCGGCATTTTTAATAAATAATAATGTATTAACAGTTATACTCTGGAAGTATTCATGGGGGTTCAATTTTTTAGCTCATCTGACGTAGTCAAGATGCAGCTTGTAGAAATCGCATGAGCGTGCGGTGGCGTTAGTCGCGTCCGTGCGTGTTGTCAACAGTTTGGCCAAATCTTAAACGCTCGACGTACTGTCACGATTATTTCGGGACGTCGGGGTGGGGGGGGGATCGTGGAATGGACTCAGGATGACAAATTTGGGGGTCCAAGCGCTGTCAAGGTTCAATATTGTGTTAAAGGAGGGGAATAAGTCCCCCTTAAACTTTAAAGGCTATAGCGATGAAATACGGGAATTGCAGCACAAAAATCTTAAGCGGCTTCGACTATTGGTCTTAATATTCGGTGTATAGTGTGATGGGCAGCGAAACCATCACCCTGCTTAGTTGCGAATTGGAGGTCATAAGCTCAAAAGGCAGTGGGGGAGGTCAGATATCAGACATTTTCTGAGCGAATGGTCTAAGGCAACAGAGCTGGAAAACTTTTGTTTTCAGCGCTGACCTACCAGAGTTTATCACTTTATTGAAAGGGCATGGAATGTGCTTTCCATGACGTGCTAAGAGTAAGTGGTTGTGATAATCCTTTTGACCCTCAAGAGGAGGGTTAAACATGGATTTCTCCTGAAACTGCCCAATGACGTCACAGAACAATGTCGGCCACTCCATAATCTAGAAACCATAATCTGCATAGCCGAACGCGTACGGCACAGTCGTCACGCTTCAAGTCGTTGGATCGCATCCCATCGTGATTTTTTAATTTACCTGTTTTCTGGTATTTTCTATTTTATCCATTTAACTATTTTTTCCAATATTAACGCAAATACTTTATATGATTTATTTACAGCAATTTTAACAACAACAAATAATTTTTACAATTATATTTTTTTTTTTTTAATAGGGTTAGGGTTAGGGTCACAATGCCCATAAAACGCGTTGCGCAGTACAGCTGGCGTGTCACGTACTGCTGTTTTCGTCACGCGCGGTGTTTCATCTGTGTTTTGCAGTTTCTCGGCTGCACTGTTGAGAGGAGTCGTTCAGATGGACCTGGTGCTGGAGCGTCAACAGTCAGGATCTATTCCATGGCTAGGTGAGGAGAAGTAATGTACACGACACACACACGCAAGCACGATTGACTTAGCGTGAGTTGGCTACACGCACGCACAACACGCGCAGGCACGCACTCAGGACTTAGCGTGTGAGTAGTAAGTAATGAGACCTCAATACAAGTAGTACACGCACGCACGCACGCCGGCACGCACGCACGGCACGCACGCGCGCGCGCACGCACACACGCCGCACGCACGCGCACAACACGGACGCACGCACCACGCACGCAACGCACGGCACGCACACATGCACACATGAGACTTAGGTGAGTAAGTAGTTAAGTTAATGGAGCTCAATACAGTAGTACCGGCACGCACCCACACGCCGCACGCACGGCACGCACGCACGCACGCACGCACCGCACGCACGCACGCACGCACACATGGACTTAGGTGAGTAGTAAGTAATGAGCCTTAATACAGTAGTACACGCACGCACGCACGCACGCACGCATGTACGCACGCACGCACGGACTTAGGTGAGTAGTAAGTAATGAGCCTCGTTACAGCAGTGCACGCACGCACGCATGCACGCATGGACTTGGGTGTCAGGGCCACAATTAAAAAAACATTTGTTTGCACTCAGTCAACCCAGGCTGAAAAGTTTGGGTAGGTAGGTAGGTAGGCTTTTTTCTTTTCTTTTTCAGGAGGTTCTTTTTACAAATTTAGCATGGTGTCTACATGCTCGGGTGTGCTTGTGTGGAGTTACCTTTTATGTTAAACGTTTGTTTTGCTTGGTACATGTAATGTATTGCCTACATATTTGTATAATGTACAGTGATACAATTTGTAAAAAAAAGAATGGAAAAGATCAATAAAATTTGTTGAGTCGGTCCCTTTTTGGCGGGTCGGTCGGGTGAGGGCAAACAAACAGTATTTTTACTATGGCCTCATGTATCCCTTTTCTGACGTCATTGATGGGAGTGCGCACCTTTGTAACGTACATAAAGCTTACCCGTGGTTCGTGAATTCCTTTCTGTCGTGAATAAATCACATTAAAATGTAATGGAGTCGTTCGTACGGGTTCTCAACCAAGAAGCATGAATGTAATCGTGATTATATTATGAGAGGTGGATAATATAGATCTCTATTATCCACTCGTGATATTATGAAGTGAAGGAACGCCCACCCGTGCGCTGGCACACCCAATATCGTGTACACAACACAGAGTATAGACGTATCTAATAGATTACATACACACAGTAGTCTTGTAGCGCTTGCTATCGGTAAAAACCTTCTCGGTTGCGTGCGAGCGCGTGTCGAAATTCATTTCACGCGATCCACGAGTCGGCCATACGAGTGGTTGGCTTATTGAAGTAATTAGCCTTGTTTCTTGTCTGTCGGAGACCGGATGAACGTTACTGGGTTTTGTGACGCGATTTAGTGAGGCTGTAACAGTGGATTACGACTTATTTCAACCCTGCAGGCGATCGAGTTTGAGGCAGGGCCCACTAACTGTATGTCGATGTGTGGGTAAACATATGTGGCGTCCAACAGGCAGCCAAAGCGAGCAGAATTTGAATGAAACCATGCAAGCGAGGTTAGCCTCCCTCTGGTGGCAGTTAGGTAACACTACTGCCATCTGGTGGATGGGTAGAGAGGTATTTTAAAAGGGGAGTGATTGGGAAACCGGTGCAGTTGTTCCACTGCCCAGGGAATATGCGACGCTGGGTATATTGGTTGTTTAGATGCAGACTCCAATCACTTAACAGAAGACAATGCATTTATCATGTTCGGTTTTTCGGCTTTTGATAACGTGACATCAAAGACACGATGCTGCAGATTTTATACTGTGTCGGTCTGTCTGTCTGTCTGTCTGTCTGTCTGTCTGTCTGTCTGTCTGTCTGTTTGTTGTCTGCCTGCCTGCCTGCCTGCCTGCCGCGCTGCCTGCTGCTGCTGCCTGCTGCCTGCCTGCCCTTGCCTGCCTTGCCTCGTCGGTCGGTCGGTCGGTCGGATTTTGTTTATTGCCTGCTGCCTGCCTGCTGCCTGCTTGGTGCCTTGCGTGCTGCCTGCTGCCTGCCTGCCTCGCCTGCCTGCCTGCATGCCTTCCTGCCCGCACTGCGTTGCCTGCGTGCCTGCCTGCCGCGCCCGCATCGCCTGCCTGCCTGCCTGCCTGCCCGCACCGCCCCGCCCCGCCTGCCTGCCTCTCCTGTCTGTCTGTCTGTCTTTTATTGCAGTGCCTGCCTACCTGCCTGCCCTGCGTGCCCCTGCCTGCCTGCCTGCCTGCCTGCCTGCCAGGATGAGATTGAGGGAGTAACTAGCAGTGGAAAAAATTTTAAATTGATTTTTTGAGGGGCTACTTTTCAAGCTCGCGTGCCATGAAAATTAGCACTCTAAAATTATGGTTTGCATTGAACTCTATTGCAAATTTAACGGGGGCTCTTTTTGGCATTTCCGGGGGCTAAATCGCCCCGTGCACCGTGTATTTGTTTTCACTGCGTAACTAGTGTAGAAGTCTACGACACATGCATTGCCAGCAGCTGCATATAAGCCTACCACAAAACACAGCTACATGCGTGCGTGCTTCATCGCGAGAAATTACGCGTTGGCTGTCCCAGGATTGTGTCGCCAAAAAAACGAAATGTGCCGGGGTGGGGAGGGTACGCGTGCGTGCGTGACGTGCGTGCGTGAAGTGCGGCGTGCGTGGTTGCGCTGGAAGCCTGCCGTGCGCGGCGGAGCATCAGCGTGAAGCTAAATTACCGGTCGAGTGAAATCAATATGCGCGGTCTGCGCTGCGGTGTTTGCTGCCACCACCGCTCGCCGCAGCTCCGGCAAAATCGCCGACGCCATATTGTTTTGCTTCGAAAACGACCTTCAGCATTCTCGCTGATGTCGCCGCACAGGAGGTCGTCGGCATGTTGGCAACGCGCGCGCGCGCGAGGGAATTCTACTGAGAATGCTGCCACGGTTATTCTCTCTCGCGGTCTTTTGGCAGCGATAAATGTCCACGTCTGCGCCGACACGTTTACGTCTGTCCGTCCATCTGTCCATTCATGTTTACATCCGCTCCATCTGTCCACTCATGTTTACATTACGTCCATCACTGTCATCATTGTTACATCCGTCCATCATGTTCCATTCATGTTTACATCCGTCCATTCTGTCATCATGTTTACATCCGTCCATCTGTCCATCATGTTTACATCCGCCGTCCTGTCCGTCTGTCCTGGTCAGCGTGTGGCGCGGCAATTACCTTTCGGGGTCCTTCGGAATCGAATCGGACATAAAACTCGGTGGTCTCCTCTCCAAAAGTGCTGCGGGTTAAATAGAATGTTCAAGCGTTCAGTTAACGAAACGGCTCAGGCGTTGGGCTGCACCATCGAGCGTTCGCCTGCGCACTTGCTTAGACGTCTAATTCCACTTGAACACGTCGAGCGAGCGAGACGATCTTTGTGAATTTGTAGAACATTGTTGCAAGCGTTTCTTGGAGTCAATCAAAATCTAGGGCAAGCAAGTTGGGGGAGGGTAGGAATTTCGGAGGGGGTGCCATCCAACTGCAAGCAAAACGTCATTTGAAAGGCGAGGCATCGATCGAGGCAACCGCAACCTTAGTAATTGTCGTTATGTGGATTCACACACAAGATACTGCCTCAAACGACGGTATGGCGTGGATAGGTGGGGCCCACCAGAGCCAAAACGGCAGGCAAGCCATGGCAGTTGCAGTTCATTGCTGCAAGGTCTCGTAGATGTTCCCCGGGCGGCCAACGGCGATAGGAAGGGCAGCTGCAGCTAGTAAGGGGGGGTGGGGCTTAATGTTTGTGAGGGTTCTCGCCTCCCCAAAAGAGCTGCTGCAGCGGCGGTGGAGCGACAGCCCTCCCTACAACCTCCCTCCATCCTCTCCATGCCCATCCCCTCCCGCTCTCCTTCCTCCTCTCCCCATCTCATGAACTCCTCTCCCCCTACCTTATGCATTCCCCTCCAACTCCTCTCCTACCTTCTCCTCCCGTCCCCTCACCCCTCCTTCCTCTCCTCAATCTCCTCCCTCCCCTACCCTCACCCTCGTCCTCCTCCCTCCCCCCCCAACCCCCCCCGCCCCCCCCCCCACCCCCCCCCCCGTCCCACACGCCCCCCCCCCCTCCCCCCCGCACCTCCCTTCCTCCTTCTCCCTTCCCCCTCCCCTCTCCTCTCGTCTCCGCCCCCCCCCTGCCCCTCCACCCTCCCTCCCGCGGAACGACTTAGCCGTCACTCGCTCGTAATATTGTGTTTTTCCGCGCGCAGGCCGCAACTTCCGTCTGCGTGCGTGGCGACGACTCTGAGGGAAGCACGGTTACCTCTGAGCGACGGTGAATACAACAAACCGTCGACGATACTCCGAGCCGCCCGACAGCTTTCGAGTACTGTCATGTACGGCAAGATCTAACCGCAATTAGAGGCGACGAAGGATGGTCGGCGACGACTAGATGGCAGCTGTAAGTAGCGCCCCGGCGACACCTGGGCGCCGCTGACGGAATTAAGCGCCGCGCGTTTTTTTTTCAGTTTTTTGTTTATGCGGAAGGGAGTGCGTCGCCTTGAAATGTGTTTTTGTTTCTATTTTTGTTATATTATTGTTTGATACGCGTCAGAGTTTATATGAGATGAAAGGAGTTTGACAATGGATTTGGTGACTGATTTCACTACATTTTTTGTAATACGATTAATGCGAATTTACCGTTTGCCGTCGCCACACCGACGAGTAAATACGTATGAAAACCATGTCGAGCAATAAGATACGATTATGTACAAAACGAAAGGAACGCACCGTGTTCTGTATACTTAGGGTCCCTATATACAGAGAGTTCGGCCATGAGACGAGTCGGACAAAATATCGGTCACCGTGGTCGCCTGGACGACATCGTTGTTTCAAATGAGATACGGCACGCTATGGATCGTAAGAAAGGTGTACAATTAAATTATCAATATGTCGCAAGGCATATTTAGTCTAATTTTCTAAGAAATCTAGAATACACATAGACACATGCTTAGCTAAATCTTCCTGTAAATTTTGAGTGCATTGAAGCACGATTAGTCTAATTAATTGACTACAGACCATTGTACAGCGTATCCATACAGCGCTGTAACTTAAGCCGGCAGCCGTGAGGAATCCATTTGAACAAATGTGTCAATCCTGGTTTGGCCAACTCTCTGTATACAGGGACGCCTAGTAAATACTACCGAAGATAGATAAGGAACCAGTGAACAAGAAGGCTCTGTTTGTAACATTTGTAATTTTTATTCACATCGAAACCTTGTATGACAAAAATGCGGAGTGAACCATTAGTACAAATCGGTTGTCAACTCACTTTATCTCATTAACTCCTGATACGGTGTAATGTTACAGATCC